AACATATATTCAGTCTGTATGTTTTTCGAAGTCATGGCTGTAAACAAATTAATTAATTTGCCAGCAAAACACTCTACTCCTGCTATGACCTCATGTTCAAAGAAGGGAATGAAATAAAACTTATTGCAACTACACAACCATTTAAATATTTTGATTGCTCCATCTAAAAACTGTAAACTTTAATAAGGTTAATCGAATGTTCCCAAAAGTCTAAATTCAGATTTTAATTCCTCATGAATTCCTTTCTTGTGTTCTCCAACTCCAAAATATTCCTTCAACTTATTCTTATCAGGATCTTGATTGATGGCAACGAATTTCAATTTAGCATGAAATGATTCCCTAATAGCTTTTGTTGTATCTTTGGCCAAAAATAATTCGTATGGTTCTAACACGCCTGATAAGAGAATTTGAGATAAGCGGAAATCTGAGCTGAATCTGGATTTCTCAGTGTTGACGTATTTGATAAAGCGAGCATTGGGTGCTATAAGACGATCAGCCAAAAAGAGTCCTATATGTGTATCGTTGTATCTTAGAACTATGATTATTTTCAAAATTTACTATTGATAAAGATGTGGGACATAATGGTGATTTCTACTTCGTGTTCAATTATGTCATCCAATTTAGTTACAGACATGATATACAATAAGGCCTCACTGAAGAATTCATTATTCATCAAATGAGTAACAGCTGCACAATTCTGACTTATTTCATCCTATTCTTCAGTGTATTATTATAATTAACCTAACAATGATATCAATTCATAATCATAATCAGAACCTAATAGTTTAATGTAAATTTAATCCATTAAATTGATCAAAACTAATGATGATTTTATTAAATTTAATAATTATATATCATTGTTTTTGGTTAAGACTCTTATTATCAACTTTAGGGCTGTAGTCTCCTGACAAATTACTACAATGCCCCCCTTAATTTATAAGATGCGATAAATCAATTAACAACACTAACTATAATTCTAATTAAGCACCATCATAGCAGCAATGTACTTCATAAATTACATCTACTTAAACCACATTGCATTTGCATATGTTATACATAAGTCCTTCATCTACAATATCTCCTTAACCAACTTAAAATTGGCAGTCTTCGTCTTCTCTGCATCAAACAAACAGTACATCAATTCCCTCTGCTTATCACAATAAAAGTCCTTCTAAACAGCAAACAAAAACAAATCCAACCCCACAAGATTCTCGAACTCCCATTGATATGGCAAATTATTCAATAAGAACTCCATGGTCCCATCCTCATTAAATGCCAATTTCCCCTAATAGACCAAATCAATCATATTCTTCAACTTCCTGAATCTCACATAAATCTACAATCTGTTCAAAGCCACATGACATGCTTAAACGATCTTCTCATCTTCACTTTTCGATGCCGTATAAGCCAACAACTGAAACCCATTAAAATTACTCACTTACTCATTGGTAAATTGCTACTACTCCTGAGTCACTGACTTGCTCTTACTCCTGCTTCTGCTTCTACTCTTTTTCTTATTCTTCTTCTTCTTGCCCTCCTTGTTCTCCTTCTTCTTCTTCTCTTTATCCTTCTTCACCTTCTTCTTCTTCTTCGGTGATTTCTCAGAATCTTGTGTCTTGATTTCCACATTTCGTGTTATCAATTCATTGCAGAATTCTACATGATTCATGCAATTGTACAAAGTCTCAATCACCTTCAATTTAAAGTAACTAGGCGATTGCTATATCTCAATCAGAAATTCCAATAATTTATTCAGGCCTCCCTTATCCAGAAATAGCAAGGCGTGATATTTTGAACTGAGTAATTAAATAATAATTGGAAATGCTCTAATGGCTGAAGAATAGGATGCATGAATTGCAAAGATCACAGAATCCACAAGGGAAGTAGGTAGCAATTTGTAAATACGATCAACATCATTGAAATGTGCAGCTGAATGGATATCTGCCTTTGAATGTTTTAAATGTTTAGTTAAGACTCTATGCATTTATTCCAATTTCTCATGATACAATGACACCAATTGTTTATCTACAAAATCATAGTCTTAATCTATTGATTTCAATTCCTTGGCCAAAATTTCAATTTATTTTTATGACTCCTATTAATTGAATTGTTTATCTTCAAGTAATAATTATGGCTGAATATTATCAACACATAAATGGTAATTCTCTTGGTTGTAAATGTGATCCAAAACTTAATTTCTCTACTTAATGATTTGCTAATAGATTTTATTATCAACTGGTTGATTAATTGCGCGTACTCTTTAGATTCTGGCATCGATTACATCATTCAATTCCTGTAATCCAATATTCTTACCATAAGTAGGATTGTAACTTTGGATCGATTGTCCTGACATGATTTCACCATACATGCAAATTGTCAGTCGTTTATATTGTCCTCTGAACACTATAAAATCAGTGATGTACTATAATTACAATATATAAATATAATACTGGCTATTCAAGTGTGATGAGGATATCACAATTGTTGGAGGAGATTTCTTGACTTCCAAACAAAAGTTGATATCTTGATTATGGCTTGTTGGTCTAATAAGATTTAGCAAAAATCTCCAAATTGCGTAATGGCTCTTCACTTTGAGTAATTGTAATTAATTTTTTGAGATTCTGATGCACATTATAACCAGGTTTGACAATTCTGATCAACTAGACCTTTACAAGTGATTGGAATATGATTTCATCACAGACTTTTCCTTCTTTGACTTTCTATCTTGTTTGGTTCTGCCCACTTTCCAAATGCTCCAAGTTATCAAAGTATAACAATTATACAAAGTGATCTATGGGATAACTCATTATCAAAAGATTTTTAATTAAAATAAATAAATGTCTTCCTTTAATTAGAAGTAACAAAAGAAGCTTAACGAACACAAGGAGCTGGCTCAGAAATAGAAGGATGCGAACGAGCGTTTCCAAGAAGGCAAGAAGATAATGTTGAAAGAGAACAAGACAGCCAATGATTTTGATCGTGCAATCTAACTGTTTTCTGAAGCAATCACATTGTTATAAGTCATTAAAATATATAATAGTTTTAGAATTCAAGTCAAACAGAACCGCAATACGCCAAGTTTTATGCTGCCCGAGGTAATGCCTACATGCAGACTGGCCAGTATTAGAGAGCACTCTTTGACTTTTCAACTGCTGTGAGATTCGAGGAAAACAATGCAGAACATTATGGGGCAAGAGGAAACTGTTTTCTGCAATTGGGAGAAGTCAATGATGCACTGAAGGAATATGATAAAGCCATTCAAATCAAATCCACAGACGGTTTCCTCTTTTTAAATAGAGCACTTGTGTATGCCAGATTGGATAATTACAAAAAGGCCATTGATGATTACTAACAAGCTCTCAAGTATTTGAAGGACTCCAATGCGCAATTCAAAGCACACTTTCACATGGGAAATTGTTATAGACAAATCAAAATGTACGATCAATCAATTGAGCATTTGTAAAAGGCTTGTGATATCAAAAAAGATGAAGCCCCAGCTCACAACAATCTTGGATTGTCATACTTTGAGAATCAATAATATGAATTGGCATTGGAGAGGTTTACCAGGGCCATCGAATAAGATGAATCAAAAGCAACTTATTACAATAACAAAGCATTGGCATTATATCATCTGGGTGATTTGAAGGGCAGTCTGATAGAATTCAATAAGGCTCTTAGTATTGATGATCAAGATGCCCGAGCATTATACAATAGAGGAAATACTCATTTGGCCTTAGGTAAGAGAACAGAAGCACATGCAGATTATGATAAGGCAATTAAATTGATGCCCAAAAATTCAAAATTCTATCATTCCAAAGGACTAGCCTATTAGGATTCCGAGGAGTATGAAATGGCTATAAAAATGTTCGAAGAGGCTTTGAATATCACTCCAAATCATATGCCTTCCATTTTCCATTTAGGTCTTATGTATCACAAGAACGATAATCTAAAGGAGGCTTTGTCATTGTTCACTTAAGTCTTGAATGCTGAAGGTAAAGATCGATTGGTCTACTCTTCAAGAGGATTGGTGTATATGGATATGAAAAATTATGAATTGGCCATCCAAGACTTCAATGCAGCCATTGAAATGGAACCTACATATCCCGAGACGTATTACAACAGGGGATTGGCAAGGATTGAAATGCATGAACTCAACGATGCCATCAAGGATTTCGAGTAAGCTCTTGAACTCAACTCCAACAACCCTGGCATATACTCAGGTTTAGGTTAAGCATACAGATTAAAGAAGAACTATGAAAAGGCCTTGTTCTACTTGGACAAGGCTTTAAAGGAGTCTCCTCATAATCAAGAGTTCTTGGTTTAACGAAGCAACATCTTTATTGACAAGAAAGAATATCCAAAAGCCATAATTGATTTGACAAGTGCGTTGGATAGGAAACCGAATGATGCATAGATCTATTACAGGAGAGGACTGGCATATTATAAAAATTAGGAATTCAAGAAAAGCATTGCTGATCTCTACAAAGCATTTGAAAACAAACCATTTTAAAGTTATGTGCCTGACATCCATTATCATTTGGGAATATCCTTTGCCAACCTGGAAATGTTTGATAAGGCCATCGAGCCTCTTACTAATGCTATAGATTTACAGAAATACGAGCCTGCTTATATTCATGAAAGAGCAAAGTGTTTTCTGTTGGTGGGCGAAAACCAATTGGCTTTGGAAGATTTTGATAAGGTGATTGAAATGCAAGTATTATTGGGTGTAATATGATAGCCACACAATTCTCATGCGTACTTTGGAAGAGCCTTTGCTCATAAAGCCTTATAGTAATACGGGAAGGCAGCAGAAGATTTTGGGAGGGCAAAAGATTTGGATCCGATGAATCCCAAATTGATTGTGAACTTCAAATAGATCTATTATGTGAAATATATCAAATTGTGCAATCCTGGAGAAGAACAGAGATGATATTATATTCCAAACTAATAATTAAATATCTGAAATTTTGTAAAGAAAATATTATTAAAAATAATTTGAGATGTTTCTATAATTCATGATATCGATAGGCTTTGCCTGCAGTCCAAAAACGTAACATCTGCAATTCTTATATCCCACTTAATATGAGAACTATAAATTGGATATGAGCGAGTTATTTGATGGTGCAGATTTAATTTATGTTTGTACTATTGGAGAAGGTAATTCATTTAGAGATAGGGACGTAAAGAGATGTAGTGCATCAGAAGATGGGATCGAACTGAAAAATGCGCTTGAAGTAGAAAAATATACAATTAATCATGATAGACTTCTAAAAAACATTAACAGTGTTTCAGGATATTTTAATTATACTTCTACTATTTAGAATAACACTATTTTAACCATATATGAGGTAGACTACGATAACCACATCATTACAGAATTAGATAACTCTAAAATTAAAGTAAATTTGGATTGCAAGAGCTTTAGTTCTACCTTTACTTAATCAAGCAATGTCATAACTGATTGCTATTACAACACTAGTTTTTAATTAATTTTATTTAGTCAAGGTTAACAACAAGTTATTTATGAATTATATTAAAGCGGCTTTGATATTAATTACATCCAATACACAGATTTAGTTTATAGCAACAATTACATCGTATATGGGATATACCTAAACAAAAGTCATTCTTATCTACATACTTACTATTATAACGAAACTACCCAATAAGCTAAATTTGTAACCAGTTTTTAGTATAACACTTTTACAGATTTTTCTTTGATGGCTGATGGAAAATCTGTCGCTATTTTGAATCTTACTAACTGCATTTACATTTCATTGATAGATGACTTAAATCAGTGTACCAAATTACAACCCTTCAATAATATCTAGATTAACTAATAATTTCTAGCCATATAAGCATTCCCCTCATTGTATTATGGCTAACTAACTACTTCATTTTATGTTGTCAACGACAATTATTTTGATAATATCCTTGAAATTCATTATAATGGTTAAGACCTTTCCATAGTACAAATATATGAGTCCTATTAATAATACACATTTAATCTTGAACAACGAATTTCAATCTATTTGAGCACAAGCTTCTTGGTCATCTATCAAAATGATATTCAAAGTTTTTTCTACATTGGGAAATATTCCAATTCTCATGAAGAGCAAACAATCACTCCGATATATCAAAATAAAGATTTTGAAGATTAGGTCTAATTTTATCTAAATTATGAAGGTAACAATTTTTTGAAATTTTCTCGAAAAATCACTTGGTATCATTTGTAACAACCCAAATTAGTCATAAATATCAACAACTAGAGTCAAAATGGGTCAATCAACATTTTTGCTTATGAAAATCCAGAAATGCATTATGAGTTTGATATTTTTGGCTGCAATCTTACTCTTACCTATTAATTGTTGAATTAAAGCGATAAAGAAATCTATAGTACTACGAATATAAATAAACTCTCAACCGTCTAAGATCTTTCAGAGACCTTCCGAGTGAATGATTATTTCACAGGCCCTTTATTGCAATTAAACTTAATAGACGACTCACAAAGTGATTCAAACATTACTATATCTATTCCTCAAAGTACGGCCTTTTAAAATTTGAAAACTAACCTTCCGGGATTGTTTTAAAATTATTCTCAATTGTTTTTTGTTGAAAATTATAAATTGTTATTTTATGCTTGGACAAATATGAATAATTATACTAACCTCTACTACACGATCTGTCAAATAGGCAAAAACTAAATTTTTGATTGTTCACTTATTAAAAGTATAAATTGTGATGTCTCTTAATTGACTACTATTTAAATGACTCAATCTGACCCTACAGAGCTTATATTAGTATTTGATTAAGGACCCTAAAATATATTAGTTTATTAATTCTAATTCAACTTAAACATATCAAATTATAAATAGGGTATCAATATTTCTGAACCATAACTATATAATTACACCATAGGGTACTAGTAAACAATACAATAATTTTAAATTCTCTACAACAAATTGATAGTACTCAACAATTAGAGTGAGATCATTGTTATTAGTTATCAAACTAATGCATAATATTATATAAATCAAACGACAATAGATTAAGCTGAAGGATAGAAATACGATATTGTATTCCAACCTATTTAAATTTCAGTAAATTAATAACTGTATCAATCTACCTTGTTTATAAATAATCAAAATGGTGTCATCACATTGGAATTATTTAATTAGCCTATATAGAACACTAATTGTTTTACTATTTTATCTTATCTTAAGTAAAATTAGGATATTTCTTAAATTTTTGTCAGTCAGATGTTTATGATTATTGCAATTAGCACAAACTCACCACCTTATACAGTATCCTTTTCTGTTTATGATATATCAGATATATCTCAGCCCAAATTTTTTAAACCATTACCAAATTGTACTATCTAGCCTGGTTCATAAATTCTAGCAGACAATTACTTTTTCTATGTAAGACAAGTAAATGGCGGTGTAGTCATTTACAGCATAGATTTGCCCTACCACAGTGCATAATACTTCTATTTATCTTTGAATTAAAATGAGTGCATCAGTAGTACTAATTCAAAATAATAATCAATTCTGTCATTTAATAACAACCTATGGGCTAGCTTCTAAAACAATCCCTACAGCTTTAAAATTTATTAGGTTAATCAAGAATATAAGATGCACACCTTAGCTAACCTTTCAGTTAGCATTTCAAATCAATGGGGGAACAAAACCATAAATTATGATTTAATAGTAGTGAATACATACCTGTAAATCTCAATGAATTAATCCTAATTTGTGAACAATTCAAATATCAAAAATCTTACGTTTTACGCTAAACCCAACAGTAACAATCAAGTTTTGATAGCTTTAAATATGACAAATGTTTCAATGGGTCAAGTATTGAACTATTCTCTACTTGCTTATAAACAGGGCTTCAAATCTAATCCGAATTTTAATATAACGAATCAATTTATAAACGAGAATTAATACTTCACATAGGAGATTAAAAACATTACACAAATGGTCAGTTTTTGTGATTCATTATTCTATTAGAATACATCAGGACTCTATCAAAGTAGTTATGTAATCTTTGAAGGTATTCAATTACAGAGCTACAATTTTACAGAATGTCTTTCTTTGAGTGTAACTATTAATGGGCCTACCATTTATATGAATTCCATTTGTAAATCTGGTGATCTTGTTACTGTATTTTCATATTTTCCTAATTGCAGTGTCAATAATAATGCCACATGCAATTCATCTCTGCCTTGGAATTCCTCATATAATAAAACCATAATTAATTCCGCGCCTTTTCACTCTGTATTAAAGAGTTCACAACTAAATCAGTATCTATTCATCTTAGGAAAGGTTGGCGAAAATCCTAATTCATAAAAGATTTACATCTACAATCTGAATTTAAATGCATCTTCGAGTTCACCTCCCAACTCAAATTAATATAAACCAATGAGAACAATATAATGTAGAGGAGGCATTATAGATTATAATTTTACTATCTTGTAGAATAAGTCTCTTATAAATAATACGTATAGTGGAAGAGGAGTCATCTTTTATTTGTGTCAAAATCCAAGTGAACTAAAATATGTGACTTTTAATATCGCCAATACAACTTACCTCTTTTTTTCAAAAGTGTCAAAACGAGTCTCAGATGTTATAACCTAATATGTCAACAAATCTCATTCGAAATTCTTGTAAATCTTTATTTACCTTGTCAAATATGATTAGATTATCCTCGTTCTCACTTCAAATAATGTCTACAACTTAGTAATTATTATGAGTTACAGTCCTCTAAGTTTCGCTGAAACTTCACTTCAATTTGAAGATGTCATTGCTTACATTCCACCTTACGGTAACTACACTCAAATTCCCCTGGGGGTCCTACAAAATTCATATTTGGCATTGTTATTTAGCCCGCCCATAGAACAAGGAGGTAAGAATATTGTTGCCATTTATGATATCGAGAAAATCAACTAAACATACAGTCTGGCCAATGGATTAAACTACAGTAGCACCATTTAAATGGAAGCAGGTTATCAATTTGATCAAAAACAAATCATTCTTCAAATTGCCTTAATCTCCTAACCTTACAATATCTCCTAACCTAACAATAATAAGGGTTAATTTTTGCTTATGCTATTAAATGATGGCATAAATCTAAATTAAACAAAAGTCATCTTATTAGTATTCAACTTATCCATATATTTTTATTGCACGGATGTAACTGATTTATCTGAAAACTACGATTATTATTTAGTGGCTTCAAATTCCTTTTACAATTCTAACATAACCATCTAAATTACAGCCTTACCACTAAGTAATTCCATTTGGGCATGGATCTTATTGTTTCTAACAATTTTAATATGTGGATTCTTAGTAAGCTAATTTTGGACAAAAATTAATATGCAGAATTTATAAAATAAATCAGCAGAACTCTTGGAAATAGAAATGTGATAATTAAAATCATTATTAAATATAAATTATTTACACATGTCGTGTTTATTTCATATGATATTCATTCAATATTTCAAGAAAATTTGGCATTCTACCTTTTAGTAGCTAATATTAATTATGATCTAATTATTTTCCAAATTATTTTTTTATCATAAAAATACTTAAAATTTGAATTGGCTATTTTTATAATGTCAATGCTTCATTACCTATAAATTTATTTTTGAAAATTTAACCAAATTGTGTGAAATAATTAGGATATATTTTACGAAGGTTAAACGATATTTTAGTTAACGGCAATCAAAATTAATATATAAAATATTAATAACAAAGATTATTGGGCAATTTTAATAGATTAATGATGTTCAAGTTTAAACTACTTATATTTCTAAATGATAGAATTGGATAAGATAAATTAAGCATTCTATATCTTAATTCATTCAAATACTCTAATAGAGTTTAATTTAAGGATAAATTTTGATTGACTAGCTATACTGTACTTGTTCTTTAGAAAAATGATAAGTGTGAATAGAAAACATATACTCGATAATAAATTAATTTTGGAAAATGATAATAAATGAATATTAACTAATCATTTAATTCTGGAGTAGGATATTTAATTTTATTATGTTTATATTCATTATTTGAATCTGATTTGCTAAATTCATAATAATAATAATAATGATAGAAGTAGAAAATGGAATAATTGATATGATCATACAAATAATCTCATAGGTTAATTTTATTGTAACATGGATATTGTCTTATCATAATCCTCTAAAAGATAATTTTTGTAATTTTAACGCAGTTACAATTTGTTAAATATAGGATTTATCACAGGAGTTTCTCTCTCCATAATTGGTGGTAGTTTTAAAGGCTTGTTCATGTAATCATATTTCGGTTGTTGGGGCTCAATTACTCTACTTTCAAAAACCTAGTGTTAAGGAGTAGGTTAGATAGAGTATGACTTGATCCTTTGTGGTTGCTTTTCATTTTCAGGTTAATAATCTATATTGGTCTCCAATTAAGAAAGATAAAGGGCCTTGTTATTTTGTGCTCTTTAATATTCTCTCTCTTGTCTCATCTTTTATGCTTTTTCTTGATTCCTCACAACCTTGCTTGTGTATGTCCCTGGAATGGCTCCTTCAATATCATTAGTCGCCAGCAATCTGTCCCCTTATAGATTTCCTGATATCATATATTAATACTTAGGTTAATCATAATAATTCTCCAGGGCTCGATATTATTTGATTTCTCCTTAGTGCAAGTTATAATGTTTTTTGTGCGAACCATCGAAATAGTTCTCTCCTTGTGGAACACAACTATTGCAGAAATGATGAAAATCATGCTAATACTTCCTACGACCATATTGGGGATCCTGTTTAGGGATTGTATACCTAGAAAAATTTAGAGTAAGAGATTAACTGCAATTATATGTTATTTGCTTAGCGAATATCTTGGGGAAGGATCTTATCTAAGTAAGAACTCCTCTACTTAGGTTAAGCACCCACGATATCAACAGTCAACAATGACCTATCAAATTATTGCACATTATTCATTTTAATAATATTTATTGATATTTTATTATTTAGACATTAGTTACTCATCAAGAACACAAAATAAATCATCAAGTCTCTAATTCCTTTGCATGCAAGAAATCCTTTATGAATTGTTTAATTGATCTTATTTTTTGAATAACTCTCAGAGGAATCATCATTATCATCGATCTAGTTCTCCAAACATCTCTGGTCATCTTTATGACAAGAGGCAACCACAACATAAAATAAATCACAAATAACAACACTTCAAACACTATGAACAATGCCAATCTCTATGTTTTAGCATCATCAATATCTATTGATATAGCAGTTTAAAGTTTTTCCATCAAATACCTAAATGTTCCTACAATTTATATTTCAATGTGTACCTTTATTATAGATCTCCTGAATTACTCTGGCTTCCTTGGACTAATTGAAATTAACTAAATTGAGAATATAATTGCTAATATTATCAGAGTTTTTTGTAATGTTCTTAAAAGTAGTAAATCCTCTTGCTATAGTAGTAAAATTAGCCTTGGAGTTGTTCCAAAATTAATCATATATTGTCATAGTATATCTCAAATTCTCAAAATACCTTGCCAATCCTACTGCCATACCCTAATATATTGCACCATCAGCAAAAACTTAACAATCTGTCTCTATAATGTCCTCCAAATAGGAGGCAAGGATTGTACATGGTTACAACATAAATACCTCTTTGAAGGCTGTTTAATACATAGAATTTGTAATATCAACATTAAGGGAATGCTCTTGATGGATAGAAGAATCAAGAGCATAAAGTTTATCTATATTCTATTTCACTATTGTGTATGAGTCTTCATTTTCAATCGTGATACTTCTATTAATATATAAAGATCTTTAAGCATTATCTGAAAATCTATAAAAACCTTCAGCTCTACTTGTAGCATTAATCTCTGGCACTAATTAAGCTAAATTGCTAAGCAATGTATCACTCATGAAATAATTAAAAATAAAGTAAGCCTAGAGGATAAGAATCACAAAAACGAATGCAAAAATGTAGTTTCTTTAATCTTTGTTTGTATTTTTGAATTTCTTCTTCTTTCTCTTGCTTTTTAGAGTTTTGTTTAGTTCCTCCTACTCCTCTTTCTCTAATTCTTCTAATTCTGATAAAACATCATCGTCCTCACCTAATTGGAGATTAGAGATAAAATTTTCACTTTTGTTGTATAAATACTTAACCGTTTTATCTGGGATATCTAAAAACATTGATAGAATTTCTTCTTATATTTTATTAACTGAGAGAGTTATGATTGTCAACATTAACAATCCTAGACCTAGGGCTGCTGCTGATATTCCTAAAATGATTTGAAATGTCTCCATTTTTTCTCTAGTTTTTTCTGTCAATCCTTCTGCATATAGATTGCTTGAATTTCTCATTTAAAACACTAAATCATTGAGTAAATTGTAAATAATAAACTCAACATCAGAATCTTCATATACAATCTTAGACAGCTATTTATCCCTTATGTTTAACGCCTTACTAACTATTTATTAAGTAGCTTCCATTAGATCGTAATTTTGATATTGATCTCCAAATTTCATTTTAACGACATTCTGGCTCTGCAACTCATTTAATTCATCACTTATGTATATATTTGATAACATTAAATTTTTATTCAATTAAGAAACTAATTGGATTGAATTATTTAGCTTAGTCTTTTGAGCATTTTCAAATGCTGTACTTGCTTCTGTTGTGTTGATTTAAAAAATATTTAAATTTAACATTTATAGATTTTGCACTGAAGTTAATATTGAATGTAATTCAGCTGTTCTTAAATTAGTGTATTCAACCAATTCCAAAGTTGAATAAATTTCATTATATTGAGCTTAACAAACAAAAAAGTCTGAAAAACTAAGTGCTACCAAAAGTAATATTATAAAATTGGCTGTCCAAGTCAATTTTCTTATCACTTAAGGTGTAATTTAATTATCAACAACCATTGATAGGTTTTTTCTTGATTTAAATATGTTATTAAAATCCTACATTTATCCATCCTAATCATTGTCCACATCTTGCTATCTCTAAAACACACTTCTTCCTTGTTAATCTTCCTCTTCAGATATTATATCCTCTCTATCATCGATCTCTTAAACTCTGTTTTCAAAGAGTCTCACTATTTTGATGCCTTCTGCATAATTTATTTTTGATACGATTAAAGCATTAACTTCATCTGACTTTTCTGACTTGATTTGAGATTTGATTAAGTCACCGCCTGGTTATACAGATGAGATCATCGAAGACTGATCATTTTAATCCCATAGTATAGTTTGATCCACCCTTTAAGAATTGGTATCGCAAACGAATTCCCCTTGATATAAGAACTTTGATGGATTGAATTTAAATTGCATAGTATTTGTCTGTACTTTTTAATGGGGCAGATTATTTTCTAGATTCATACTCATATCCTGGATTAATTATTCCAATTTCACAATGTAGCCAACGACTTGATCTCCACGTTCATTGAATATTTCAGAGACAAAGCACTAGAATTAGATTGTTTCGCCCTTTTTCTCTGCTTCCTCAAATTCCTAAGATGCTAAATGGCTATTGCTGACAGCAGATGAACTATTCAAATTGAACATTATTTGGCCCCCAATTTTAGATAAAAATAACTATTTTTGTTATTGGTAATTTGAAAATATTTCAGTGATAGAGGTTTTCTTATGAGATATCTACTTAGAGTCGAGATTTAATAAGGGGATACAGGAAGATGAAATCGAATCTATTATTTCTTCATTGTCCAATATAAGATAGCAAGTTGGTTTAAAACTTTTGAGTACTCTAAACTAAGCAACTAAGGAGACATTTTCATCTAATGATTAAATGATTTTCAAGTAAATATAGCAGGGCATAATATAATTCGATTTCATTTTAATATAAATTAATCTGTCTTTATTAATGTTTTTATTATCGTTAGATTACAGGAAATTTTCCACATAAGCATCATGAAATTTAGAATACAAATTCGGCATAAAAATATTGATCTTCCTATTGATCATTTCAGATTTATTGTAACCAAATAGATTGCAAGCAGCCAAATTTAAATTGATTATTTAAGCAAACTTCTCTTACGATGCTGATACTAATAATATAGGTTGAGATTCAAAATTAATTTCATCGCTAGTAAAGATGGAAATGGTTTATTTGTTTTTCATTTTATTATTTTAAGTTTAAAGTTATTTGGATTTATCTAATAATTATTCTCCAAATTCTTTATCTTAAAGTACTTCAATAATGAATTTAGCATATAATCTCATTGCTTTGGGTAGATTTTATGTCATTTTCTGCATTCTATTCCATAATTCTTCTACTTAAAGAATAGCTAGATTGATTTTGGATCCAATTTCATTCATTTTGCCTAAATCAGGAGACTCCTCTTATAGTTAAGACCAGAAGTCCATATGCATCAATGTGGCTCTCTCTATTTTATTTTAAAATTATCTCATATTATTTTAAAATGCTATTTCTGTCGCAAAATCTAAGTTTCCAAAGGTTTCATTTTATGCAGTATTCATTTCTTCCTCAATAATTTTTTTGTATCTAAAAATAACGAAATCATTATCAAGGCTTGGACTCAGTGTTTCAGCTTAGATGAGCTCATTAAGGGCTTGTTGTCTTTACTTCATATTGTCCAATAAGAAAAAAGCATAACGTATTCTGAGATTGATTTCATTGGGAAACTTTTTAATTTGGTTGAAGTAGATCTAGGCCATGACCATCAGGAGATCAATGTCTCTTTCGATGATAGTACCTTCTTTAAAGAGCGGTTTCTGCTATCTTTGGTTAATCATTTTTTTCTGCTTGAGATAACAATCCTCTCTTGTGCAAGTTGCTTTATGAATTTCTAAGAAGCCGTCAATCAAAAAAGAACAGTTTGAATTCAATGGACTTTTGTAAAGGAGTTTGAGGAGATGATTTGTCAATTGGACAATTTGATCAGGGTCTTGGACTTTGTTTAGGTTTAATAGCAGCAAATCGTAATGCAATTTTTCACTTTTAATGATTGCAGCAATCATGAGAGGAACTCCAGCAAGCCAAGCATAGACTGTACCAATGAATAAAACTCCTTCAAGAAATTTGGCAAAGCAGATGAGAATAACTCCCCATAAATTTAATGCAACTAGCATAGACCATGCCTTCTGGATGTACAGGTTGTTAAATGGTTGTTCGATGTGTATTTTCCAAAAGATGATAAAGCTGCCTATGAGCATAATCAGAATCATCAAGTAATCGTAATTCTTGCCAGTCATGAAGGTATAGCAAATAACCATAATTAATTGGTAAGTGAGGAGAACAGCATTTGCTCTTCCGCTCTTCTTAGAGGAAGCCTCAAGAGGTTGGTATCTGGGTTCGTAGTAGAGTAATGAGAAGAGTAAGCAAAGAATAAAGAATAAAATAACTCCAAAAATGGCCACGACGGAATGGACAATATGTATATTTACCCAACATTCAACATCGAAGAGTTAATGCTGAAGCACTCCTGCTTGATTATCGGCGCATGACAACATTGAAAAAAGTAAATCGACGATGGGCATATACAGCACCTATAAAAATAGGGACATTAAGAATCTGAGCAACATGATTGGCCAGGTAAATGAAGATTTAGATTTACTGACACTGTAGCTCAGCAAAAACATTAGCATCAAAGCAAATAGAAGCAATCCCAAACACACATACATCATAGCAACGAATCCTGAAAAATTAACCATTTCAAAGTATGGGGTCAATAGGACATACCTATAAAATTAAATGATCAAATTGTACCCGAAGATTTTGTTCAGTTGTTTAGTTATGATCTCATTTTGCCACACCTTCCAAATCTGGCGATTAAAGATGATATAAGTTATTTGCATATACTGTATCGCAATACCAATGCATGTGAACGGAATCGATTACTCCTCATCTTTCAACATTAATTGGATAACCCGATAAAAGACTCCTTTCATCTCCACTTGTAATTTCTCTAGAACAGATCGATCTGACTCCAAGGAACTTTTAGAAGTACCAAAGTTTGACTTAAGTTCCATTTTAATTATTAATTATTATATCTCACTAATCTTAGCTGTGAATCAAAACGCCAATGAAAGATTTTATCATTTTAATCTTCTAAATCACACGCAATGGAATCATCAAGATCAACCCCTTGGTTCTCCAAATGTCTCTTGTCATTTTCATCTCAGCCGGTAACCAAACTATGAAATACACAAAAAAAATCAGCACTTCAAAAACGATGAATACTGCCAATAACTAAGTTTGAGTTACCTCAATGTCATATTTCAAAGCAGCCAAGTATTGATCGAGTAAAAATTGAAAAGCAGCTAAACAAAATTTCTAATCTACATACCTCTTATAAATTTATTCTGCATGATCCGTGATTCTGTGGGCTGTTTGAAATTATTCAAATTATATATGTAATTAGTCACATTGTCAGAGTCATTAGTGATATTTCGAAATCGTCCCCAACCTCTAGCTACCACACTGAAATTTGCCTCAGGATGACCATAAAACATGTCATAAATTGTCATTATGTACCTTATGTTCTCAAAATATCGAGCTATTGCTACAGCCATCCCTTAAGAAATGGACCCATTTGCAAATGTTTCACAATACTCAACTGTTGTATATCCCTCCTTTTCTAATGTCTCACAAGGACTCAACATAAAAATAGATTAGAAAGTGTCATAATAATCTTCATTCACTATTTCAGAATTCTTTGCATGTTCTTAATGCAATTCAGAGTCCACTTCGTAATTCAATTGTATGTTATTCATTACTATAGAGTAAGCGTCCTTCCCAAGGATGGGTTCCTCTCGATTCAAAAATAGTTGCCTTTCACAATTATCGACAAATCTATAATATGATCCAGATCTGGCTGTCACATTTAATTCTGGTATCTACTATCTCAAATTATTATAAATAACTTGATTTAGAAAATAACTCAATATGAAATATCCTTAAAAAGTGCAGAGAATAAAGGTAATTATAAGAATTTGTGTTCTGTGTGATGAATTTGTATTCTTGAACACCTTCTTCTTCCTCTTTGATTTAAGAGTTCTACTTAGTTCTTTATGTTCATCCTATTACTCATCATCACAGAAATCAGAAGATAATTCTTCCTCTTCCCCTACTTATAAATTCGAGATAAAATTTTCGCTTTTGTTATACAAATATTTTACTGTTTTTTCTGGTATCTCCATAAACAATTGCAATATTTGTTCCTATATCAAATTGATCTTTATAATGAGAATTACAATCATTATCAATAATATAAAAAAAGAACATGCAGATACTACCATAAAAATGAAAAAGATTTTAACATTCTTCTCTGACAAATCCCGAATTCCATATGAATATTAGCTTGTCTCATTACGATATTCAATTATAATTCCATTGTGCAAGTTATAAGTAATAAAAGCCACATCTTCATCATCCAATGTCAGATTGTATAATGGTTTATCTCTAATTATTAGAGCTTTACTAATTATTTGCTAAGTAGCCTCAATTAAGTCATAATCAGAAAACCTACTTTTTGAAATTCTGACATTTACAACGCTCTTTGAATGTAATTCTTCAATTTGTTCATTGATATAAAGCTCATTTAACATCAACTTTTTATTTGCCTCTGCTAATCCATATATGGATTTATTCAGTTCATTTCTTTACTCTTCTTCATATGCGATAGCTTCAGTTTCTGTAAAATTCCATATTCCAATCTTCAGCATTTCTAAATTCTAAATATTCATCACTACTTGGATAGATTCTTAATTTCTTAAACTTGCATATGAAATTAAATTTAATGAGTTTTAAATATTATCAAATAAATACAATCCTAAGAAATAGGATGTAAATGACAGCGTTAGCACAGCCACCATTAAAATATTAATGATGCAACTCAAATAAATGATTACTTTTGGTCTTTATTAATCATTAATTGTTGAACTTAATACTTTTCTATTTCTAAATATATTATTCTTTTGCCCTTTCTCAATCTCATCTGGGTTATCTGAATTCGATTAAAATACACTTGAATGTTGAACTTCATCTGAATCTGTAAAGCTCATCCTAATATCTTCAATCTCTTAAATTCTATTATCAAATAATTTTAACGTTCTGATCCCTTCTGCATAATTTATTCTTTCTATCTTCACTATTTCAACCTTTTCCTTCTTCTCAACCTGAGTTTCCTCGCTTATTCTAGAAGACTACTCCCATATAACTGTTTGATCAACTCTAGCTGAGTTTCCTTCCTCTTGGTTTTCCCCTAAATATAATGCCTTTGCAGCAAAATATTTAAATTAAAAATTGCTCATAGTTGAATTTTGTACAATTAATTATTACTACACATCAGGACCAAAGATTTAACTCTAATCATTTATCACTTTCTCTAATTTTATAACATATCCAACCACCTAATCTTAATATTAATTAGAAATTTCAGTAATTTAAATTTAAAATAAAATTTAAGTCTGATCTTCTAAGTCATTAATATAGTATTAAAGGTAATTTGAGTTCTAAACAATATTAGATTGTAAATTCAAACTAATTACGCAACCAGTCTTATTTAAGTAATCATTTCTGTTATAATTTGTGAATAGCTCATGAAAATAGATCTTTCTATGACTAATCATCTTTGAATCAATAAACAAGTAGCAAATGCATGATGACGAGATGGACTCAATTGCATCATCACTATCAAGAATTAGATAGCATCCTCCTTTGAAGGTACGCAATGTTCTAAATTAAGCTGCAATTATAACATCTTCATCAAATTAAGATAACGCTTTCATGTATATATAGCAAGGCATAATGTAGCCTGATTTTAATTTTATGTAGATTAATCTTTCCTTCACAATCTGTTATTAATCATTACTCTAAAAAAACATTTCTATATGCTTATCATGAAACTTAGCATAAATTTATGGAATCAATAAATTTATTTTTCTATTCATCAATTCTGTCTTATGATAACCAAAGAAATTACAAGCACTTAAATTTAAAGTAGAAATTTAAGCAAATTTACTTGACATAGTAGATATTAATAAAGTTGGTAATGGTTCAAAATTAATTTCATCGCTAGTAAAGATGGAAATGGTTTATTTGTTTTTCATTTTATTATTTTAAGTTTAAAGTTATTTGGATTTATCTAATAATTATTCTCCAAAATCTTTATCTTAAAGTACTTCAATGATGAATTTAGCATATAATCTCATAGCTTTGGGTAGATTTTATGTCATTTTCTACATTCTATTCCATAATTCTTCTACTTAAAGTATAGCTAAATTGATTTTTGATCCAATTTCATTCATTTTACCTAAATCAGGAGAATCTTCTTATAATTAAGACCAGAAGTCCATATGCATCAATGTGGCTCTCTCTATTTTATTTTAAAATTATCTCATATTATTTTAAAATGATATTTCAGTTGCAACATCTAGATTACCATTTAGTGCTTCATTTTATGATATGTTCATTTCATCTTCAATTATCCTTTTATATCTAAAAATTGTAAATTCATAATCTATGCTTGGGGATAATAATTCTATTTAATTAAATTCATTTAAAGATTATTACTTTTATTTCAAAAAATCAAGTAGATAAAAAGCATAATTAATTCTTAATCTTACATTGTTTTAATGTCGCCTAATGTATCCTTGATATATCTCTCCGATTAGCAAATGTATTTAGTAATCTCTCTGTGAGATATTTGCATCTTTTAATTTTAGTAATCTTTGGTTTAATTGTTTCTTTATTCTAAATACACAATCTTCTTTTTAACAAGTTTTTATGTGTACTTCAATAAGTGCATCCAACATAATATGGAAATGTTAGTTAGTGTGATATCTTGATAATAATTTTTAAGTATAATTAATTAATAGTATGATTTGATTAGGATCCTCTATTTTATTGATATTCATTAGTAATAGATCATAAAGATACTTTTCTTTTTTGTATATAGCCACTATGATAAGAGGTATACCGACTAGCCAGGAATAGATGGTTCCATGAAATATAATGTTTTCCAGATAATTTGAAAAACACATCATTAATGCACTCCATAACATTAGGGCAGCATACATAGATGAGATTTTCTGTATAAATACATTATTGAATGGTTACTCTATATGAAATTAATAGAAAGTGATAAATGCTCCAATCATAAGGATATAAATAGCAACATAATCAAATTTAATTAAATCAATCAACGTAAAGGAAATTTCTAATATGAGGAAGATAAAGCATTTAAGAGTTTTTGCCCTTCCAGAGGTCTTGGATAATTGATCTTTGTGATTATATCTTGGTTCAAAGTAAAGTAAATTAAAGGTCATCGTAATAGTTGTAAAGATTATGATTCCAAGGATGGCTACAACAGCGTGAATAACATGGGAACCCTACCAACATATGGTATCAAATACAACGTTGATGAGTTGATTTTTATCGTCATAGTGGCAATTGAGCATTTGAAATAAAAGATCAAGTATTGGTAAATAAAGTATAGTAGTAAAGAGGATGAAAATCTATTTGAGGACATAAATTGGCCAAGTATATGAAGTGTTGAGTTTAGTAATGTTTGTGTATCCAATTAGTAATAACAACATGATGGATATAAGGATTATCCCTATTAATGCATACATCATTGATGCGAAGCTAGAAAAGTTGAGCATTTCAAAATATGGGGTTAGCATGAAATATCCAAAGAATTTATAAAATTGATATGACACTTTCTAGTTTTTCCAAAGTACATATAGTTGTCGATGAAAAATGAATGTGAGATATTAAAAAAAGGAGATCACTTACAGAAAGATTTGAATTGCAATCGACTATTCTTCATCTTTTAGAATCAAGAAGAAAACTCTGAAAATGATCGATTTGAGTTCTGTCTGTAAACGTGTTAAGATATTATCATTCTCAACTGAATTCTTAGTGGATCCATAATTGGACTTTACCTCCATTTAATTTAATTAATTGATAATTAATATAGATAAAGAAATCAAACTTCTACATCATTGATCTGAATATTCATTTTTATATATGACTTAATAGATTTAATATTTTGTATGACACTGAGTGGAATCATTAGTAGCATTGATCTTGTTCTCCATATGTCCTTAGTAAACTTGGCAACCAGAGGCAGCCATAAGAAAAAGTAAACTATAAAGATTAATCCTTCAAAAACAATAAAGAATCCCAGCATTTAAGTTTTATGATTTTCCATATCTTGACTAATCCCTTGAATCATTTAAGAAACGAGAAATCGAAAAGCTCCTCTGTTGTAAGTATCTTACATTTCCCTAGACTCTATCGTTTAATTGAAATTATTTAGATTTAAGATATAATTTCTTACATTATCACTGTCTTTGGTTATATTCCTAAATTTACCAAATCCTCGAGCTAAGTAAGTGAAGTTCACATTTGGATTTCCCCAAAATTAATCATAAATAGTCATTATGTATCTTAGATTCTCAAAATACCTTGCAATCCCAACAGCCATTCCTTAATAGACTGCTCCATCAGAAAATAATTAGCATTCTTATTCAGTAATTTCATTTAAGAAATTTGAAATTATTGTACATGGTTGTTCCATAAAAACCTATCTATAAGAGTCTAAGTATATTTGACTTGTGATTTCCACATTTTATGAATGTTCTTGGTGAATGGATGAATCTAGACTATACAATCCATTGATATTGTTCTTGACAATCTCATATGCATCTTAATTCATAATTGTTTGGTTACGATTGAGAAATAAGGATCTTTCACTTATATCTACAAATCTATAGAAGCTCTCCGCCCTAGCAGTTGCATTGATTTCAGGAATCATCTAACTTAGATCTGTTAAAAATGATTTACTCTATTGATAATTTAATATAAAATATCCTTAAGCAAGTAGAATAATTATTAAAATCCCAAGAGTAAAATTACGTTGCTCTTTGTTTGAATTTTTATACTTCTTTCTCTTTCTTTTTGCTCTCAATTATTTATTCAATTCATTTTAGTTTTCTTTTTCTATATCATCCATTTCGGAGATCAATTCATCGTCCTCACCCACTTGTAAATTTGATAGAAAACCTTCAGCTCTATTGAATAAATATTTAATTATTTTATCTGGGATATCTATAAAAATAACCAACATTTCCTCTACAGTTTTGTTGACTGATACTATGGCCATTATCATAATGAATAATCCAACACCAAGAGCTGCAGCTGAAATACTTAATATCAACAAAAATGTATCTTTGTTATTTTCTGATTTAACTCTCAATTCATTGGCATACAATGTAGAAAAGGCTCTTAATTAGTATACCAAACTATTTAGAGAATTAAACAATACAAAATTGACATCTATATCATCCAATCTAATATTAGATATTGGTTTGTCTCTTATGATTAATGATTTACTCAATAACTATTAAATGGCTTGTGATAAATCAAACATTTCTGAAATACCCTCACTCGATTTCATACTCACAACATCAGAATTCATCATATCTATTATCGCATCACTCAAACTCACTTCTGTTAGCATTAACTCCTTATTCAAACTATCGACATTACTAATTGACTAATTTAGTTTATCCTTCCACAATATTTCATATGCTTCTTACTCCTTTGCACTTTGAAATTCCCAAACATCCATATTCAACATCAATAAGTTCTAAATGCTTGTAGTCAGTGTTTGTAATTCTGCATTTCTTTAATTTTGATCTCTTACCAAAACTATGGTGTTGTAAATATCGTCATATTATTCATAAATGATGAAAAAGTCAGTAAATGACAACACGACTAATATTATAGTTAAGATATTTGCAGTCCAATTCACTTTTGTAATCACCTTAGGAATCTAATAATTATTGATTATTTAGGATAATTGTTTTCTTGATCTAAATATATTATTCTTCTCATTCACTTCTTCTTACCCTTGTCCCTTAAAATCTTCATTCTAATTTCTCTGAAACACACTTACTCTATCCTCATTCTCTTCATCTGATATGACTTCTGGATCATTTATTTCCTAAATTTTGTTCTCAAATAGTCTCACAATTACAATTCCCTCTCCATAATCTATCTGACCCTTCTTTTGATCAATATTATCAACTCTCATTAAATTCTTTTAATCGACATTATTATTATGTATTTCAGGTTAATTGGATGAAATCATAGAAGATAGATCACCCTAATCCCAAATTATGGTTTAATCTACTCTCTAAGAGTTCAATTCAGCTAAAAATTCACCACAATAACTATTTGCACGAGGATTGAATTTAAATTGTAAACTTAGGCCTCCTTGATAATGATGATGTACATTCAGGTCCTACATCATACTCTTTTCATTTCCATTTATTTCTAATCTCACCACATATCCTATTAATTCTCCATTGGTATTGTTTACTAACTCGTTCATATAGCATATAAATTGAATTTCACAATCTACATTTTCATCCTTGCTATTTTTATTATTCAGCTATTATTCTCTGTATTTATAGATTAAAGGACCACCACTTTTAGTTAAATACAATTCCTTTGACTAATCGAAATTCGGAAAGATGTCGGTTAACATTAGCCTTCCATTTGATATCGATTTATAGTCAATGTTCAAAAAAGATATGCAAGATGCGGATAAGGAATCTATTACTTCATTAGCACCTACTATCAAGTGGCAAGTAGGTTTGAATTACTTTAATGGCCGAAATTAAGCTCCTAACTATAAACTATCATCAAGGGACTAAATTAATTTAAGAGTCAAAAAACAAGGGAGGATGTAATTAGACTTTTATTTTATGAAAACCAATCTCTCTCTATTGATTAATCTGTTATCATTCGTTTACATAAACCGATCAAAATATGCATCATGAAATTTAGAATATATGCTAGGCATAAATATATTGATCTTGCGATTTATCATCTCAGATTTCACAAATCCAAATAAATTACAACAAGATAGATTTAAATTGATAATTTATGCGAATTTCTCTGGAGCTGTAGATACAATTATTGTAGCATTTGATTCATAACATAAATCATCATTATTCAAAATTGAAAGCATTGATTGATTCCTTTATTTTATAATTTGCTACTATAATTTTTTAGATTTATCCAATAATTATTCTCCAAATTCTTTATCTTAAAGTACTTCAATGATGAATTTAGCATATAATCTCATAGCTTTGGGTAGATTTTATGTCATTTTCTGCATTCTATTCCATAAATCTTCAACTTAAAGTATAACTAAATTGATTTTTGAACCAATTTCATTCATTTTACCTAAATCAGGAGATTCCTCTTATAGTTAAGACCAGAAGTCCATATGCATCAATGTTGCTCTCTCTATTTTATTTTAAAATTATCTCATATTATTCTAAAATGCTATTTCTGTTACTACGTCTAGTTTTTCGTTTGTATTTTCGCTTTGTGCCATATTCATCTCAATTTCAATAATCTATTTATATCTATAAATTATGAATTCATAATCAAAACTTGGGTATTGCAATTCTGCCTAAAGTAACTCATTAAGTGCTTGTTATCTTTACTTCATTAAATCAAAGAGAAATAACGAGTACCTTATTCTTAAGTTAATATTATTTGGAAATCTTTTGATTTAATTAAAATACACTTGTCCCAAAACCATCAAAATATCCACATCTCTTTCAGATAAAGTTAGATCTTTAAAGAAAGATTTTAAAATCCTTTGATTATTACTCCTTTTTTGCTTGAGATAACAATCTTCTTTGGCACAAGTTGCTCTATGTATTTCTAAAAAGCCATCAATCATCAATTAGGAATCTGAATCTTCTGCTTTATACAATTTGATCAAATAATCTGTCAAATTTAGGACATCTTAAGGATCAGATACTTTATTTAGATTAGTCAATAGCAATTCATAATTTAATTTATCGGCCTTTAATACTGCTGCTATCATGAAAGGTAAACCAAATAACCAAGCATAGATTGTTCCAAAAAACAATTGTCCTTCTAAAAATTTAGCAAAACATAATATGATGACTCCCCACATGTTTACTGCAGCCAAAACGGACCATGCTTTAGCAATATGCTTATTATTATGAGGATTTTCAACGTGCATTATCCAAAAAACTAAAAAGCTTCCAATAGCAAGTATAAAAATAAATATATAATCATCCTATTTCCCAACCATAAAAGTATAACAAATAATCATGATAAGTTCATAAGTAAGAAAAATAACAAGAAATCTGCCATTCTTTTTTGATGAAGGGTTCTAAGGTATATAACGAGGTTCGTAATATATAAGTGCAAATGTAATGCAAAAAAGATAAAAAATAATTATTCCAAATATCGAAACAATTCCATGTACTATATGTGTTCCTTACCAACACTTTGTTTCAGAAAATAACAAATGTACAGACTCTCCTTTCTCATTTATAGTACAAGCTAAGATTGAAAAAAATAAATCCATCATAGGCATGTATAAAATTGATAAAAAGAGCTTAATTAATCCCCTCAAAATCTCTGTTATCCATGAGAAGTTTGTTTGTAATCTGTAATTAAGCAAAACTACTAGCATGTAACCAAATAACACTAAGCCTAAGCAAGTATACATAATTGAAATTAACCCAACAAAGGAAACCATTTCGAAATAGGGAACTAATAATGAATATCTTTTTTAATATAATAGTATTACCCTAAAATTCTATGTATTTGTCGTGAGACCTCATAAGTCATCCAAACCGGCCATATTTACCGATTAAATAGGATGTATGTCACCTAAAAAAACTACACAATTATGGCAAGATTGCTTAACACCAAAGAGGATTCCTCATTCTTCAATAATAACTACGTGACTTAGAAGCAAATTAATTTGATCTCATTTAGAAATTTTTCTGTTCTAGATTTATGTATTTCCAGAGATGATTTGCCACTGAAATTCGATTTTAATTCCATTTTATTTATTCTGTTTGAAAATAATCTGACAAATTTAATTATTGATTAGGAAGAAAGGGTTAATTCTGATTATCATTTCTTTATTAATTTTAGATACGAATTTAATATAGATAACTAAATTGTTTGACTATAAGTTGCATTCAATATTTATAAATCAAATAATTAAAAATGAATAATTATAATTATAATAGTAAGACATTTTTTTGTCCTTGTAAAAGAAATAAATAAGTATAATTTTATATAATGGTGTTACTTTTGCAAACAACAAAATCATAAATTATTTCTATTAAATCATTATAAATATTGAAAGTCCTACAAATTAAAAACAACTTAATTTTGAATTTGAAATCGATTAATCAAATTAAGAAAATCAATTATGAACATTTTATTAATTACAAATTTAATATCATTAAATAAAGATATTGGCCAATGTTAATTTAGAAAAAAACACAACTATTGATGGTTTTATTAAATTTCAATTATAAATTATATAACTATTATACGCTTAGATAAACTTGATGATATTTTATGTTATATATCAATTTAATGTTAAAATAAATCCAATGGCTTAATATAATAATGGCATTAATGTGGGATGAGGAACTTATAGTTGCAAATTGATTGCAGTAGGTGTATGGATCACATTTGCTAATAATGCCATTCCATTAACTAATGTAGCTGCATAGGATAACAATTCAACACCCCTTTCATCCTTTCTTACTCCAATTAAGAAAAAGTAATTGCGTTCCAACTTTTCTTTCATCTAAAATTATGATTTAAATATAGTACTCTCTATGGATCGATTTAAATTTAAAGAACTTCTTGTTTTCTGGCTAGATTTTATGCTTGGCTCAACTCAATGAATTTTTATTAAGTGATACTTGCAGTGCTGCTCTAAAATTATAAGTATTTATAATACAAATAAAACACTTAAGGACATTGGGATGAAGAAATAGAATACATCCAAATTCGTCTTAAAAGCAACCTAAATTTTATATGGCATTTAAGGAGGTTCTTCAGATACAGGGCCATTAGTATTGATGTACGATTATGTAACTTAAGTTTAACCTGGAAATACAGGTTGACATTATATTTCAATGGCATCAGGTTATAATTTGAATGGATTTTTATTGAATTTAATTCCGAAGTCTGAAAATGTTTTATCTTAGGTTTTGTTTGTGATTTTTAGATCAAGTACAATCTTATCACCATTCTTTTGGAAAGCAGCTTCAACTGATAATCCTTAAATTTATGATTAGGCACCTGGAGTATTGACACTTAAGACTTCAGCAAATGGTATTCTAACATTTTAGGTTTAATTGGGTTATTAGGTTTATTAAGGAGGTATTTATTATTATTATTAAGGTATTTATTATTATTAGGGTATTTATTATTATTATTAGGGTATTTATTGTTATTATGGTTAATTATCATCTAATTCTAATAAATCAATTTTTTAAGAAACCTATTATATTTATTACTATTGAATTTATGATTAAATCTATGATGATGTATCATAAGTATTATCATAGACATTGGATTATCCTCCCTATTAATCACTATAATCTTCAGGTCTTCCATCCATCAATTAATCTTGATCATAGACATCATCGATTTTATCAGCAATTTTAGAATTCAATACATCTCTTAGTTTCTTAACAAAGCTTTCAGGTTTTTTAGTATAAACAGAACTCAAGTTTCCAATGTTTTCGATTAATTTATCTAAGAGTTCATTTTCAATTGTATAACTGGAATCAGAAATAGTTGGTCTTTCTGTAAATACTATTTTTTTGGCTAATTCTGGATCTGTGGATAGCATTCTCCAATAAATATATGCTCTGTCTCTAAGATCTGGATTTTCACATTCAATAGTAGCTGTTTTAAGAAGATTGTGTATCAATTCCTTTCCATCATTTGGTCTTTATAAAAACAACTTCATGACAGCAACTAGTATTTAATGTTAGACATTTGCAGGTTCATCCTTGAAGCTTAGAATAAGTAATAGTAATACTTTTCACTGAAATTTGCCAAGAGAGTGTCAGCATTTTCGATGGTATCAACGTATTCTCCAATAATCCAAATCATGGAAGCTTTGGCTTCTGGATCCTCAAGACTTTTGAGATTTTCACAGAGATCCTTAAGAATCATCTCATACTTTCTAGGGTATTTCCTAAAGATATCTCTAATGACAATGATGCTTTCCATAACAACATAATTGACTTTTGTTTTAAGACATTCCCAAAGAGCTGTAACACACTTTTCAGCTGCTTTTTCCAATTTGATAGCACATCTTCCAATTGTTCTAACTGCTTTTCTCACAAATTCTACATCTACCTCTTGAGTGTATTCTTTTAATTCATGTAAAATCTATTGGATATTATCATTATTGGCTAATTTTGCCAAGACTTCCAATTTTTACAATTTGATATAGATTGGATCATTAAAATTACAAAAGAATACTTTGATATCTTTTTCAATGATGATTGGTCTCTTTTGAATGATCAAATTAATATTTTTTAATGCAACATATTATATTTCTGGTTCTTTGCCCAAACTTAATAGTGAAATCAATGGGGCAGTCATTTTCAATGCATTTTGTCTAATGGTTTCTGGATTTTAAAGATAATCCAAAAATTTCATCATTATTTTACATGCTGATAACACTACTCCTGGATTATTGTGATTCAATCTGGGACTGACTCTCTCTAGGATTCTTAAAATACTATTAAATATTACGCTTCTGCTTCTTTTCCATCTTCAGGAATATACATAGCCAAAGCATCTAAACAATATATAACGCCCCATTCATTGCATTCATTCATAGCTGTCAATATTTTTTAAATTGTAAAGGGATTCAATTATAACATTGTTGTCCCTTTTGATTCTTGGACAATCAATAATGCGCAAACAGCATTTGCAACAACCATTGCATTTCCATCATTCAACAAATTCTCAAGAAGCTTCAATAAACCCTATTCTTCAATAAGTTCAGGTGACACGTCATATAATTTAGAAATACAAATAGCTGCAGTCTTTCTTACGTATGAATCTTCATCCTGATTAAATAAATAGATAAATTACTTTGATGGATTCTTTTAATGGATCCAATAAATATTCGGTGATTAACTTTACTCTGATACATCCCATTGTTCTGATAGCTAGTGCTCTCAGAAATGGATTTGTCTTATCTCTTGCATCCTTACGGAAACTGTTGACAGCCATAACAGCAAGATCAGGCATAATTTTGGCATAATTGATGATGTACAAGTATACAAGCTTTTTTAATTCTAAATTTGAAGTCTCCATATTCTTTGCCACATCTGGAAATAACATACTAACATCTTTGCCTCTCGTCATAGCATCAATAATCTAAGAATTATAATTCAAAGTACTTTTCTGATGGCATCTCTTTTAGACTCTATTTTATTCTAATTCAAGGCATCTTGCAATTCTTTGACTTCTTTTCCGTATCTGGATCTTGAACTTCTACTGCTACTTGAAGTTGAAGCTGAAGGACGACTCATGCAATTTAATTTTAATTTAAAAATATCTTGATATTTTCTTCATCTAGTGAAAAAGTTCACTTTATTTATTTCTTAAATGTCATGGATGGGTGTATTTTGAATAATATTCATTTGTAATATATTGTACTTTGGATGAACTCATAATAACTCTACTATTTGTCCTATTGACTAGTAAAGCATAACTATGGCATTGAGAATCACTTCGAATTATCTAATTATTTTAATAGATTTATATTTTCAAAAAAGATATTGCTGTCTAACCATAAATCATAAGGTTGTTTTTGTACTTTCTATTTTTTGAATTCATTCTCTAAGAACAAAACCTTATTTAAATTTTCTCAAAATCATAGTCTTTTTATTTGAAATATAAGTCAGGATATAATGTATTATAATTATGTATAGATTCATTTGCTAATCTTTTGTTGCGATTTGTAAATGCTATAAATTAAGGTTTATTTATCTTTCTTAGTAAGATTTTAGATTATTTTTCTATCTTCTATGAGCATTTGTTATTTATCACTTCATATTTTTTGATTTATTATGGGAAAAGATAGAATTAATATCAATCATTCATTTGAAATTACTAAATGAAATTACTCAATCATATAGCCATGGATAAATGGATAATTATAACTCAAAGAATTTCAAAAAACTCATTAACATTACTTGACTTAGTACTTTCGTATGTATTACAATATAATAAAATATATTAATAGCAATTTAACACAGATTAATAGTATTTCTTCTAAGAGTATTATTCAAGAATGCATTTTAGTATGATTGAAATTTTTGCTTCATTGTCATAAAATAATCAAAATAAAATTGATTGGATCAATAATAATTACTATAATAATATTAGATATTCTTCTATATTTAGGTTTATAGAATTTGAATCGAATTATACTTATTGATTATGATCTCACTATATATTCCTTTATTCAGTAGGAATAAGCAAATTCTTTGGCTGAAGGATAATTATCATTAATTTTTCCATCTCCAACATATACTTAATTAAACATTACTCTTTAAATATCTACAATATTCAAATTATATAATAATTATTAATAAATCATATTTATTTAATTTCATATGTCTTAGCCTTCTTATTCCAAATAATAAGATAATCAAAGTTTGGGGTCACAGCCCCAAATATTCTTTCATCTGAAAATTCAAAAGTTTTAACAACCTAAAATTGATTATCATTTCCCTTAATAACAAATAGTTTCTTATTCAATTTGATAGTAAATAACCCTTTTGGTTTATTCCATTACACTGGAAAGAAGGCTTTGTCTTCTTGAGCAACTCCAAGATTCAAGACATTTCTTTACTTTTGAATAACCTTAGTATTTTTCAAATATTTATAAAATTCTGTACTTTCTGATTCCGAAGGCTAAAAAACAATATCATCATCACTAATGAAACTACCTCGAAATCCATTTTAATTGAGTTAAATCTCTGTAGCCTCTTTCCAAATTC